TATAGCAACCCTGTATGACAGAGTAGAACTGCTCCTTAGAGTTTCTAAAACTGTACATCTTCACAGGAGCACACAGCCTCATCTTCCTCCCACAGTGCGGCTGGTCGATTTAAACTGCCAACCTTACAGTCAAGCAGTCCAATGCCTAACCCACAGTGCCACTAGGACTCCTTGTCAGTCACCAGGCAGGATTTAAAGTCACTTCTGATTTTAAAACGCATGCTGTCTGTATCTCTACCCTGTGGCACGATTTGGACACAAAGACTTCAGTGTCAGTTCCATCACTTAGCAGTTATGTGACCTTGCGAAGTTACTGTTAACTCTTCTGATTCTATACAGCAGGAACATTAATACCTGAAATATCTATTTCGAAGATTAGTTGTAAAGGTCAAATAAGAAAAATGGGGACAAAAGATCTCTATTAACTCTAAAAACAATACAAGTATAAATTACTAGCATCATCACTCCCTATTCTGAAAGAGGAAAAGCATGAGTAGGAAAAAAGAACAGGAAAAGAGGAAAATATGCTAGTTTTACTTTTCTATGGGTTTTGTTCTCTTTTTAAAGCAGGCTGCAGACCCAAACTTTGCACTTTACAAGTTTACCTGGCATCTTACTGTCAAATGAACTACGAAAACACAATATGTTATCTACCTTAACTTACTCTGTCATTTTGCTAAAAGTACAAACAATTATGCTATGACTCAGGCAGATTTGAAGGTTAATAAAACTCGAACAGCTGGTTTCTTCCTTTAAATTTCAGTTCTCATAAGAATCAGTGACAATTCTACTGTGGTATGCCATCGATGTGATTTCAACTCATAGTGACCTTATAGAACAGAGACGACTAGCCCCACCGGGTTTGCCCCAATGGCTGGTATCTTTACAAGAGCAGACTGCCATATGGATTGTCCTATGGAATGGCTGATGGATTTCAACACCGACCTTTTGGTTAGCAGCCCAGCACTTGACCATAGCTAAAATTCCCTTGTAACAGTCTGCCTCTTCTTTCTATATCATTTTCAACCTGGGGTGCCCAAATTTTTCATTATGCAAATACTAAAACATCATTCTAAAAGAAATAAAACCAGACACTAAGCTTGATTTAAGAGAAAAATTTTATTCAAAATTTAATGTTCATTTTTAATAGAATTTTTAGCAAATGAGAGAAACCAAGATTGAAATTAAACCACCAAACTGTTATGTGAAATGTTAAAAAAAAAAAAAAAAAAAACCACACACACATATATAAGCACACACAAATAAGATACATGTTTAACACTAAAACCAAAAATCCTTTGCTAGCCAGTCGATTCTGAATCATAGCAACTCTATAGCACAAAGTAGAATTGCCTCTAGGCAATTATAAATAGGGTTTCCAAGGCTGTAAATCTTTACAGAATAAGGCTGCCACAGCTTTCTCCCACGGAGCAGCTGGTGGATTCAAACTGTTGACCTCTAGGAGCACAGCACTTAACCACCAGGGTTCCTTCAGTACAAAATAAAACCAAACTCACTGCCCTTGAGTCAATTCCGACTCATAGAGAGACCCTATATAAGGAGTCCAGGGCTGTAAATCTTTATGGGAGCAAAAAGCCTCATCTTTCTCAGCGGAGCTGCTAGTAGGTTTGAGCACTGTCCATTGCATACGCTACAGCATCATCAGCTTCTTCCAGGTACCTCTTATTCAGTACATAACAGGTGCTTAAAAAAACCCACTTCTGTTTATTGAACAAAGTAAATGTCCCTTAAATTTGTCCCTCATATTTACATTGCCTCCACTGAAGGCCAGGATTTCACCATTTCCTACTTAGGTTCACTGGCACAGCCTATAAGCTAATCAGTCAAGTAAAATGATACAAACTCATGTTCAGTCCCATCCAACCTACCCAAAGTTTTCTTCTCCCTGCTTCTCAATTAGAGTAGTAAAATCTTATAGCCAGAGGCACCTTAGAGTAGTAAAATCTTATAGCCAGAGGCACCTTAGAGGCTATCCAATCCAATTTCCTCATTTTACAGATTGCTGTTGTTAAGTGCTGTCCAGTCAGTTCCCACTCATAATGATGGAGTCCTGGTGTGGTGCTGTGGGTTAATGTGCCAGACTGCAAAGCCATTTGAACTGCAAGGTTGGTGGTTCAAGCTCACCAGCTGCTCCTTGGAAACCCTATACAGAATCACTATGGGTCGGAACTTACTTGATGGCACTTAACAACAACAAGGAGCAGCTGGTGAGTCTGAGCTGCCGATCTTATGGTTCAAACCGATCTTGCAGTCCAATATATTATTCTGCTGTGGCACATCAGGACTCATTATTTTATAGATAAACCCAAAAATGCTAAGTGACTCAATCACCCAGTCAGGTGAAGCCTGACTCTAGGATTTTTTTTCTAGTACACAACACTGCTTCATTAACAGATATCTCCTCGCTATCCCACCAACAAATGATGTTCATTCCCAAAGTTCCTGCTCTAGCTGTTCCTCTTGCCCAGACTGCTTTCTTTCCTGTTCCATAGATCCAAATCCTTGAAAACCTCTTCCTATTCCATACAGCGTGATTTCTTCCTTCTCTGAAAATCTTATGGCCTGAATAAGACATTAGGCAAAGAGGATCATCATTGAACACTGGAACAAGTTTAGTGCAAAGTAACATTTCCCACAAAATAATGCTACTTGGATGATTTCTTCCTTAAAACTATTCATTCCATTCTTTCCCTTGCATTTTAGGAAATTATTTCAAGAAAAGGTACACCCTCACAAAATATCCAAATATCTCATGCACATCTTTAATCATAGACATGTAAAGCTTGGATGGCATTGCCCAAAGTCACCTCTAAGAAACAACTCCGCAAAAAATAAAGCAACAACTTGGCTTGTTCACAAAGTCCAAACTCAGAACTGACACCTCTCGTCTAGTAGGCAGTCTTCCTTGGGCTCATCCCTTTGTATTCTATCATCTATCATAGTGACCCTGCATAGGATTTCCAAGGAGCGGCTGGTGGGTTTGAACCACCAACCTTGTGAGTAGTAGTCTAGTACATACTCTACAGTGCCACACCAGGACTCTATCATTATGTCCTCAAAAACTCCACTTCTAACAAATCATTTATACTGATTTTTCTTTTCTCTCCTTCCCTAAATTGTACAGTATAGAACACACTATGTCTCTTATCCTTTATTATTATTTAGATGCCTCTTTAGTAAAACTCCAGTTTGCTACTTCTCATTCAACCTGGAGACTTGGTGTGGCGCTGTGTGTTAACGCGCCAGACTGCAAAGCCCTTTGAACTGCAAGGTCAGCAGTTCAAGCTCACCAGCTGCTCCTCGGAAACCCTATACAGGGTCACTATGGGTTGGAGCCGACTCAACGGCACTTCACAACAACAACAATATTCAACCTCAGCCAGTTATCCAGACTCTTCTATAGAAGCTGCAGCTATCTCTTCAGCTCTTCTTAGGTCTTAAAGGAGTATCTTAACCCCATGCTGTTTTTTCCCTTTCTCCACTCTTCCATCCTCTAGAACAGAGGGGTCTCAAAAATGGCTTACGTCCACCTCAGAGGATGTGCAAAAGCAGGAGCCACTGGGCTGCAAACAAAAAAAATTAGAACTCCTCTTACATTTACATTTTTTACTTCATTCTTTCTTAAATTATATTTCTATTATGTCTATAAATTTCATAATGTATTAGTACAGTAGAACATGTATATAGTTATAGGATTATATTATTGGAATATACAAAATTCTTACTGATAAATGTATCTGATCAAGAGAGTTTAGAGCCAACTACTGTAAGGAGCTCTGGCAGCACAGTGGTTACGAATCTCATGGTCTAGCATTGGTTGGTTGGTTATGTGACGTGGAGTTGGTTCCGACTCATAGCGACCCTGTACAGCCTTTCCGAGACTGTAAATCTTTACAGGAGCAGAAAGCCTCATCTTTCTCTCACGGAACAGCTGGTAGTTTCGAACTGCTGACCTTGCGGTTTGCAGCCCGATTCGTAACCACTACACTACCAGAGCTCCTTATGGTCTAGCATAGTGGTTGCTAATCTCACCGTCAGAAGTTCGAAACTACCAGCTGAGGCTTTCTGCTCCCGTAAACATTTACAGCCTTGGAAACCCTGTACAGGGTCACTATGAGTCAGAAGCGACTGCGCAGCACATAACAACAACAAACTCTAAACAACAAATCATATTCATAATGAGGTCAAGATAATGGATTCCAGGCTCTATAGGGTGGATATACGTGCATACTCATGAACACACACATACTTGTGAACACACACACAAACAATATGGTACAAAGAAAAACTCTTTTCAGAACCAAAGTCCTAACCATGCCCATCATCTCAGAATTGTGTCCCTCTGAAAAGCACAGAACAGAGGATGGTTTGGTAAAGTCCGTCATTTATAGTATGGAAAACAAAAAACCCTAAGTGGCCAGAGTCCTGCTGCTGAGATACTACTACCCTTATCATCCCTATAGAAAGGAATTTCAGGGCACTGTCCACAGGTCACTGTTCTCACACTGACTGTCGCCTGACTAGTATATATTACCTTCTACGCCACTATCTTAGGAGAGGCAGGTCCAATTTTCTAGTCCCTTGGGGCACAGCTCACCTTTTCTGTGCTAAGGACAGGTTTCAACTCCCACCTCCGGGTTTGCACTCACACCTCCCTTTATCCTTCCCTCCCCTGGGGCTACTACCCACCCTCCCCTTCCCAGGCGTTCAGCCCTGTCCCAGGGTAGAGGGCAGTCCATCCACGGTCCCTAAGACCACTTCTCTTTCCTTCTCCACCCCCGGAGCTGCCAGCCAGGCTGGAGACGGGAAGGGGGAGGGGTGTGACTGGCCTCCTGTAACTGGCCCAGATGGCAGCAGATTCCGCCCCCACGCTCAGGCACCCCTCTATCCCTCGACCCCCTAAGGCTGCCTGTCTGCCTCCCACTCAGCCCCGACCCCACCCCTAGCCTCCCCGACTCCTTCATGCCGGGCACACTCACCATGCTGAGTGAAGATATTGAAGCCGGCCTCCGCGGTGCGCCCCGCCGGGTCCCGCCTGCGGCCGGAGGGCCTGGTTGCACTGCTGCCCCGGATCCCGCGGGACTGCGGCTGCTGGAGCCCCGGAGCCTCCCCGACGCGGCCCACCTGCTGCCCCATCCCTGCGCTCGCGTACTCCCGCGCCCCCGCCGAAACCCGGTCACATTCCTCCTCGGCTCCGGCCTCGGGTCCTGGAGCTGCTCTGGCCTCTCCTCCTTAGTCCAGGGCCTGCCCCTGAGCAGCCGAGCCACCGGTGTGCCCGCACCCGGACTCCTCGCAGCAGCCTCCGCGCTGCCTCTCCGCGACTCAAAGATTCTCCTTTTCCCTCCTCCTCCCGCGGCTCCGCGCCCCCAACGCCGCAGCTGCCGCCGCCATCTTTAAGCCACCGAGCACTGGGAGAGCGTGGGACAGAGCGTCTCCCGCCCCCCCCCACCCGACCAGTCACCTCCGTTACTCAGAGGGAGGGCCTCCGGCTGCCCGGCCCCGCCCCCCCACACCGCCCCGGACCCCGCCTCGCAGCGCCCCCGCCTCCTCGCAGGGTGGGTCTGAGCTGGGGTTCCCCAGTGCCCACCTCCTTGCAGGTCCACAGCTTCTTCAGGTCTTTCAGGTTCCTTTACCACACCTTGGCCTTCTACATCTGACCGCTCCTCAGCCAACCCCCTCCCACGTTCTGCTCTACACACCTCAGTCTTTTGGGGTTGGTTGGTCTCCTGTCTTCCTGGTCCCACCTCCATCTGTCAAATCAGTCAGTTGAAGGCTGAGTGCCCACCACGTGCACACCTCAATAAGCAACATAGTTGGGGTAGAGCAACGTAGGCAGTTCGTCCTTGCTATTCCAAATACCCAGGAGAATTCCCTTAAATACATTTGTCAACAATAGGCCAAGAACCATCCAAAATTAAGTTGCACAATATCTACGTGGAGATATTAAAACAGCATGCACAGTATTTCACTTTAATCTTTAAAAATTACTTCATGGTGTTAAATTTCACTCGCATAGGTTGTCTGCATTCTTTAATCGCATTAGTGCCATAGTTGTGATTCGTTCCTCATACTACCCATGAATTCTTCTTGAATCCCTGTACCCTCTAACCACTGTTACCCTTACAGTGCTTGACAGTAAAACTAATCTTCCCACTGGCATGCTTTATATACTGTACACGTGGCCAGGTCTTCTTTTTGATGACAAAGGAGGAAAAACAAATTTATCTTTGACCCTGTTTCTGAATCATAAATTACTCATTTTTAACTTAAGAGAATGACTCAGGCAGAAGAAAGAAATGTGTGTGTGTGTGTGTGCAGTGCTGTAAGATAAGCACTTGACTGTTAACCACAAGGTCAGTAGTTCAAACCTACCAGCTGCTCCTCAGAAACCCTATACAGCGTTTTTGACTCAGAACTGATTACACGGCACTTAACAACAACAAACACATA